ATAAGATGTACATATAGTCAAAACAATTTTTTTTACAATTAGTTATAATTTTATTTAATTCATGTTTAGGTATATTTATTGTTGAGAAATTTTGAGAAATACCACTTTTGAAGTGCAATTTTTTAAAAATGCCAGTTTTTTAAATCTTTGCAAAACTGCCAATTTTCAAAATTATTCACTCATTATATCATTTATGTTTGAGTTAACTATGTTCTATTATGATTTAGTTTTGAGGGTTTAGAGGTCAAAACATTTTTGATGGTTTAGAATTTGAAAATTTAAGTTTTAAAAATCCATAATTCGTGGCATTTTTGCAAATGGACAACATATTTTTGAAAATATATACACCAAAATAGTATTTTTGCTATTGTCCTTTTATTGTTATTTATAACTACTAAATATTCTAACTAAATAAAAACGAAAAAATAAGTCAATAAATGACTAAAAGTAGTACATTTTAAAATTATTGAGTATTTTATTGTTGTCAGTACAAAATTTCAATAATAAATATACTTTATTTTGAGCGATAACGATAAAAAATTACATATAACAATTAGAAATATGTAAAATAATTATATATAAAAATATAAATAAACGACATCAAAGAATCACAAAAGAAGAAAATTTAATAATTTGATTATCAAAGGATTATAAAAAGGTTGGTTATCTAAAGAGAAAGAAGAGATATTATTTCAGTAAAAGATATTGAATCATCTCATTAAATATAAGATAATAGGTGAAAATTTGAAATATATGATGAGATAATAAGGTGAAAATTTGGAATATACGATTTTATTCAAAATGTTATATTTGAATTACATAGAAGTATGAAAGAAAATTTTGAAAGTGTCAGAATACCATTAATTTTAATATATAAGAAGTATAAATTTATTCATATAAAAAAAAGTTAATGATCACGTTATTCATGAATTGTACAACAAAAACAAAATTGATACATGATCTATTTAGCATATGGCATGTAAAAATGGAGTTTTGCACCATGATATTTGATAAATAGGCAAGCTCACAAATACCACTAAATCAAGTTTTGTTTCCAAAAATACCACCATTTTTCAAATATTCCACAAATACCACCATTTTTCAAATGTTCCACAAATACCACAAAACTAAATTTAACTTTCAACATTCAAAA